AGTCAAATATTGCAATGAATTACGCAGTCTTGTTGTTGTGGTTATCCAAAACTTTAGTGGCTTCGAATTGTATTCACGTACAGCCGAATAGCTCTAATAGTGAAGCTACCAGGCCGATTGCATATTATGCTCAGGAAAGACCTTTAAGGACGAGATATGACTATGACTTATGAAGCACGCCGTAAGAACTTCGGTCAACGTTATCGTTTTCCCACTTAACAAACATGTCATGTTAAATTTCGAATAGAAACAGAAAAAGAACGTTTCCTCTTGGAATTTAAAGCTTACAACAGCGTTCCTAAAAGAACATGAGAAATCGAATAAGAATGAACTTGTTGTAAGTTTTATTTGGTAGACTTCGTTTTTCATACATGCCTATCTAAGTAGAACAGACGAAGTGCCGAACTGAAGGAGGACCCCGCAATCCAAAACGTGATACCTGAACATTCATATTAATGTCTAGCAGCTATGGTGAATTGCACGAAGCATGTGTAAAACTAGATAGGCATTCTGAGCCCGAAAATTTAGATGCATCATATAAAATGTGCACAAATTAAAAACTTAGCAGAAGTAATTTTGAAACGGGCACGCTAGTGATAAATACGTTCTGGCAAGGGAGACAACAAAATGCGTTGTCTGAACTTGGGGAAGTCACAAAACACTACTGACCCGGCTGTCTTAAGGGGTGTGTCTGACAAGAAAGGCCAAGACTGCACGATAAACAAATGCATTACTAAGGACGCTGTTAAGGATATAAAGCAGAAGTTCGTTTGAAGTCGACTGAAAGTCGATGCTTGTGCGTGATTTTCAAGTTGATTTCGGCAGCAATGATAACGCCGGGATAAAATCCTGACTTTACTACTTGTAAATGAGTCATTGGTTTGTGCGACTGGTCACCAGCTCCAGGTGGATAAAAACCATGGACCGTTTATCCATCTGCTTTGCATTCAACTGGCGCGAGGTATCGTAAATGTTAGATGTACGTTCAATTATCTACAATGCATAATTCCACCACCTAGTCTAGTCACGCTGGTATACACGATTCGGTCATCTGGAGTGCTGTATTTAGGAAGGATAACTGCAACAAGAACGAGGGGAAGGTCACTTAATATGCAGTCTCACAGCTTTATTTAAGCGGTAGAAGCAGTCACGAGCCAGACACTTCTGAAGCAAAAGTCGAACGTGTAATTAAAGGTGGCAACATATGATTACTGAGGGAGGACACAAGATTCAAAGGACAAACCCCAAAATTGGGTACCTAAATCAAAATATCAGGTTAACGGACGAAACTAACACGAAAGGAGCACACAGTATTTGTGTGTGAGCAAGGCTTATAGTAAAAAGGCGATATTGTTGCAAAATACATCACAACAATAAAACGGAAAGCAAAGGATTACTCAGACGGAGATGGTTCTCACACTGTT